ATATTTCTGTTGCGAAAAATTCCAAATTTCTATAATTAATTTATGAACTGAAATTATTAGCTATTCCATTATACTAATGGAAAGACAAACCATTACTATCTTCGGCAATGGTTCAAGCACTCTATGCAATAATCACCAATAATGAATTAAATAACAATGAATTCATATTCAGACTTATATTAGAAGGCTCGCTGAGGCTGTGTCTTCACGATGCAATTACAAAAGTTGTTGAATTAATTATAGACGAACATTAAGTCACAGATGAAAGCGAGTGATTTTGCTCTTGGTAAAAAGAAAATGAAACTACGATGGTTATATATTTATGTACCTTTTATTCATTTTGGAAGTTTCACATATACACGTTAATTATTAACAACATAATTCTTCGTTTCTTTTTTTATATCTCTCAATTTATTTTTTATCCTTTCCTTCATTACTTGGAAAATATAAATATAAGACAGTCAATGAAAAATTCTACCTTCTATAACATAGTTACAATGTAAACAATAAACTAACTCTTTCTCCTTCTTTATAACTTCTAATTCTTCTTAAGTTTTTACTTCGTCGTCACTTTCCCAATCGCTAATACGGTCTTCTTTCCTTTCTTTAATTGCAAGTCCAGATGGTTCAACAGCTGATTGTAAGCTTAATTTTGAATCACTTAAATGATCATGAGCTGATTTGCCCTCACCACTAAACTTTTTATTTAATATCACAGATTCTTCTTCATCTTCCTCTGCTTTTTCACCAAATGATAAAACATTGAAATCTCTGTAACAAAATTTTGCATTGCAAGGAATAATACTACCAAGGCTAAATTCTGCAAACATATATGATTTTTACTTTACCGTTGCTGTTTTAGTTTTTGAACTGTTCTTTACTTCTTCACTTTTTTGTACTATTATTCTTGGTATAATATCAGAAAATGGATTGTTCAATATTATAGTTTTTATCAATCTTGTTTATCTCGTCTATCATTCTACCAAAAAAGAGGAAATGGAAGAGAGGATGTGAAAACTGTTTTTCTTGCATAATATTCTTATTATTTTGTAATAAATATATACTAGCATAAGAAAGGGTAAAAAATAAATTTTTTTATTAAGAAATTTTATTTACGATTGTTTATTTACAATGTGTTCATAGGCGAAAAATGAACGTAAAATAAAAAATAGATTGCAAAAAAATTACCGAAAGTACGACCGAGAATCGAACGCTGGTTCTCCAGCATAGGAATTCTAAGCTGTCGCCGTTAGGCCACGACTCCGATTTAAGTTTCGTAAATAAATCCATTATTAAAGTTGTAATAAAACTTGAATTGTAAATATTGCAAAAGCTATTGAGTAATTGCGGCTATAATAATATATTTTTTTAAACTGCATGACAATATCTACAAACCTGCAAAGTTTCAACTAAATTGGTGACTCGAAGGACTTGCACTCTCTTTGTGAGCATTATTATATCATGTATATCCTGTCTGAGATGTTGTCTTTCTCTTGCATTTTCTTACAACTTATATTCCATAGAAAATCTGTAATGTGTTTATGGCAGGTTCTACAGGATAGGTCCATTATGCAATATCCGTTACTATTAAAATATATTAATTTTTCTATATTACAATAACTCATATATCGTAACTTTAACTTGTGCTACACTCATTTTACTTTATCTTTTAATTCGTCCTTCGCTCCGATATTGTTTAATAGTATTTTATATAACCACGTAATTTTTATATATGACACTTATTAATCTTAATATATTGACGGAATAAAGAAATATATTTATCTGAATTAACAACAGATTGAACAGAAACTGACCGCTCTAAATTGTAGAGGGCGTAATAAACCCTCCATTTTGCACGATCGGTATTTCAGTTTGTGACATACCAACTCCCATAAAGTGATAAGTCTCTTCTTCGACTTCGTCTATGATTTCACTTTACACTCTTTATAGATGTCTCCATAATCGGACTTATAATGTGAGGAACAAGATTTTAGAAGCACATGTAATTTTGTATGAATAAAACGTCGGAAATCCTTAAATTTTATTTCTCTTGCATGTACCTATTTCTAACGATAGATAAAAATGTCGAATTTTTCTTTAAATGAACGCGAGGAACATTACCAAAATTTAAATAACTTTACGAAGAAAATTCATCATGAAATTATCGAAACAATCTCTACGTTGAACTGGACGATAGAAAGTATAGAATCTGATGTAAGTATACTGATATCTCATCAACACTTAAACGAGAGTACATAATAAAATTGTATTCACTTAGAATGATAACAGGCTAGTTTGCCCATATGATGCGTCTCATCAGATTAGTAAAAAAATGTTGTATCAACATCTGGAATGTTGTCAGTGGAAACAAGAAGGTTACAATGAATTTGACGTATCACTACCTGAATCAAACTTATCACCAGATTCATATTCTTCAATAAAATTAGGCATGTATTCAAGTTTCGTCCAAATTAAAATTATCATTCTAATTCATTAATCAATCTTATGATTAGTATTTCTTTTTTCCATAAATTCTGTTTTAAATTATAGATCTACAGATACAAAATAGTATTCTGCAAGAAGCGAAGAGGAAGAATCCTAGTTTGAAGATTGGTTAGTATAATACATATAAAATTTCAATGTTGAAATTTTTACGAGTTTTAAATTACTCCATTTTTTGCAGCAAGTTATGAATGTTCTACTTGGCACAAGCTCTATATATCCTTTTTCATATTTTTTGCTACATATTTGAATAATATTAAATATTTGCCTTACATTTCCTTATTTTTTCTTTTTTCATCGTTTCCTTATTTCTTTAAAATGTATAGCTTCTTTCAAAACATGAATTCTTAACACTGATAATAGGTTTGGGTGAGCAATTAATTCCAAGAACGTCGAATAGAATCTTCACAGATTTTACTTGCGATGAAAGGAAAATTTTATATGATTATGTTGTTTCAAATACAGTTAAGCCAGACATTGGTCATGACATTACAGATATTCAAAAATTGTAAGTTTACATTAAACGATGCTTGTTGGCCTTTAGCTTAGTACATGTAACATTTTATAGAATGTTTAAATATTGTTTCAGAAAAAACGAAGGTAAAGAGGATAAAAAATTATCCTTTTTAGAATTGCTTATACAAGAACGCAATTTAAAAAGACGACGTGCTAAGCATAGAGGTGTACATACAAATAAAAAGTCTCATACAGAAATTCTCAGAGAAATTATACATCAGCAAATGGAATTATATGTCGATTATATAACAGAAACACGTACAACCAATCACAATATGAAGACCACAACTATTACCGAGACTCAAGGTTCCAATAATAATCTTGGTGATATGCAATCCCTACTAGTTAATGAACGTCCATTAAAACGCCATGATCGTTTTATAGAAAATCCACAAGATTATCGTAGAAATTTTAACTCTCGATATGATCAAAAATACGAATGCTCCGAGAAATCATATACTCCTTATGCAAAAAGTTCAAAGCAACGAGAGACATGTTCACGAATTACGACTGAATCATGGAAAACGCAAAAACTTCATAAACGAGGTTCTCATTCAAAGGAACGTAATCATGATAGAAAGAATAAATATGGATATACACGATCACATTATAAGAAAAAGAACGTAAAATCTTATGAAAGTGAGAAATCATTCACTAACACCACCTACTCCAAACGAAATATCGATCACGAAGAAAGTCGAGAAAAATTAATATCATAACTATTAAATTTGTATGGTTATTGATATTAAAGAACCTTATGTATGAATAAGATAATCACATATATTTTTACATAAAAATTTCTTTTCTCCTCGTAAGAAAAAGAAAAATGAAAAAAAGAAAAATAAATACAATGTTATTTTCAATTATTATTATTCGAATTAAATGCTTTTTAGCTCAATTAAGTAATTGTTAACTAAGAGAGTTGTTAATATTTAATAATAATGCAATTCTATATGTATAAAAATGGTTTTATTCTTAATAAGCAATAAGCATTCAATCTTCGAATTTTGGTTGTTTAATTTTGATTTCTCTTACTAACCTTAATAGAATATTTCACGTTAGAACGTATAGCATATAGTATAATGCGTGTTCCATTTAAGTATAGCTATAGGTATAGTCCATTACGCGTTACCAATTGAGTGCCAAATCGTATTCAAGTACGTATCTAAGTAAAATATACACTATACGGTATTTTATAAATATATAAATACTTGTTAATCTATCTTTTCATATCGATATGGTTTAATGATTAGTATATATGTGGATATATATATATATATATATATATATATATAGCACATAGCGCGCGCGTATATTTGATAAAACTATGGAGAAGTACGAAGTTTTACGACAAGTGGGTGAAGGATCTTTTGGACAAGTGTACAAAGCAAAGAAACGATCTGATGGTGAAATCGTAGCTTTCAAAGTCATACGAAAGGTAAAGCAATAAGTATTCACGATCAACCTTTCGATGATACTTGTCCTTTTGATTTTATAAGTTTAAGGTATATTTTCGCCCCGTATTAGTAAATATCATAACAAATAAAATTATATAGCGTGGTAGGTCATTGAAAGAACTGAAGAGTTTGCGTCAGGAATGCGAAATACAACGTCATCTTCATCATCCAAATATAATACAAATGCTTGATTCGTTTGAAACAGAAAACGAGGTATTAATATGGTTTTTTAGAAACATTTGCATTTTATATTGGGTGCAACTAATCTTTTCTTCAGATAGTTGTTGTGACAGAGTATGCAGACAAGGAATTGTATGAAATATTAGGTAAAGCAGGTCGATTGTCTGAACAAAGAGCTCAAGTAATAGCTTGTGATCTAGTGTCTGCACTTTACTACTTGCACTCCAACAGAGTATTGCACAGGTTGGATATTTCAGTTATTGTGATGTTTCCAACTATTAACAAATTATTTCTGCTCTAGGGATCTTAAACCACAAAATGTACTTCTCGAAAGCAATGGAGTGGCAAAATTATGTGACTTTGGATTTGCTCGCAGTATGAGTACAGGGACACATGTATTAACTTCAATAAAAGGAACGCCATTATACATGGCTCCAGAACTTATAGAAGAACGTCCCTATGATCATAATGCAGATTTGTGGTGTGTTAATTTTGTAAACAATCAGATCTGAAAGCTTTGTTAGCAAAGTGTAATTTATAAAACACACCTTGTGTTTTAATTTCAGGTCTTTGGGTTGTATCGTGTATGAACTAGTTGTAGGGTCTCCACCTTTTCAAACAACATCTATTTTACATTTAGTCAGATTGATAAGATTTGAAGCAATAAAGTGGCCAGATTACATTTCTCAAAATTGCAAAAGATTTCTGCAGGTTGTAGTATATGCATACATATGTACACATATGTGTATATGCTTTCAAAGATTTTTATTTTAATTTATTTATTAATGACAATTTTGATAATAGGGATTGTTACAAAAGGATCCCTCGCAAAGGCTAACATGGCCAGCTCTTTTAGAACACCCTTTTGTTAAAAATAGAATAGTAATAGTTGGTGAAATTGGGCCTACACCATTCACTACGCCTTTATCAGTGAGTCAAGCTAGAGAAAAGCAGCTACAGTTACAAAATTTGGCAGTACAACCTACAAATCATCAGTCCAAGTATATATACATATGTGTATGCGCGCGCGTGTGTGTACATACATACATATATATATAAAAGTCCATGCATGTCTGCGTTGTACCTAAAACTGAAATTTCATCAAAATGCGTGTTTCCTAGTCAATACTAAGTTCTAACAAATCTATTTTGTCTATACTAGTTTTAAAACCATTTATTTCTAGAACCTATTAGTCGATACTATAGTTTTGACTAGTGAAATTAGGAATAAGTAAATTTTGGAATATACATATAATTTTGTGTGTGTGTGTGTGTGTGTGTGTGCGCGCGCGCGCGCGTGCGCCACACATACACACACACACACACTCTCTAATATAAATTATACATAGCGATATATAATTTTACATAGTATATAGTTTGGTACATCAAAGTCTTATCAAGAACGAGTAGATAGCAATTTGACATATTACAGCTTTATACGGTTGAAGGGCTTCAGAAAATAAGCGTTTGAATATAATACAGATTTCTGGAGAAAGCGATTAAAAAGTTACAAGAGCATGAAAGAACAATCGAGGAACGCCGGCAGAAAACATTCACATCACATTCTCGTTATCCAATCCCACATGGATATTATCAACATGAAATAAATCAATGTTACACTTTACGACATAGCGAACCAAGTGGTACGGATTCTAGCACCAGTGTCGATGTTCTATTAGGAAATCTTAGCTTAAGGGCCTCGTTGAAAAGTGACTTACTCTCAGCAGAGCATGCATTATGTCGAAGTGATTGTCCAAATACTAGAAACTCTGCAAGTAGACAAACTATTCTAACATTCGAGCAAATGTCAAACTTTAAATTACCGATACGTGTAAGCGAACAACATCTGGAAGAGGAAAAATTAGGAAAGAATATCGAACTGAAAAATATCGATGGAAGTAAATTGAGTGTTGTACAACTTGCAGTCCCTCGAGAAATCGAAACGATTCACCCTGAGAGAGATGAAAAAGATGAGAATGACGAATACGTATATGATCAGAAGTTACATTACAGAATAGATGATTCGCAAAATGTCGGTTTATCGTGTAGCAATAGAATACCTGATTGGAATCCAAAGGCTGTTGACAGACCGATCGAAAACGAAGAATGGATAGCGTTTTTACAACGATCTATGGAAGAAATCATGGATGGCGAAGTAGGATTGTTACACCAACAAAACTGTGTGTCGGTTTTTGTGTCGCCGCTAAGGAACCCAGCGGCCGGTTGTCGAGTTGTTGAATACGTTGCTTGCCTTCTATCTTTACCATTCGTTGTACCGGTAACAAAAGATTCTCTCGAAAAGATTACGCAAGTATACTTAGACGTTAGAGTCGTACCGAATCTTGTTTACTCTTTGAAACTTTTAATGTCTGAACGTTCCGAGCCTGAAACAGAGAAAAAATCTGAACCGACAAATGCAAATACCAGATCAGCATCTACGTTATCTGCGGACGAGCTACAAACTTTAGAATATACAATGCTTGTGCTTTGCAGATTAGTTTACAATCGGGAACAATTTCTTACTCAATTTTGCGATGCTGTTTATATCGTAAACGGAGTTACGTTGTTACAACAATTATTGAGTTTAGAAAAAAGAAAGGTGCGCGTAGTTATAGATCTTGTCGCGATTTTAAGTAACATATTACGTTCTCAACCCGAAAATGCTCATCTTGTGGAAAAAGTTGTATTGCATTCGCATTTATCGGGTAAGTTTATTAACAGGAAATTATTATTTCTTTTCTTTCTTTCTTTCTTCTCTTTTCTATCCTCTTGTTATTTCTCTGTAATTATCATGGTTACATACGATTATCACTCCGTTGTTATACCAACGAAATGTTTTTTCTGTAAAAAGGAAATTCGATAGAACAGCTTGGTAAACTGCTCACGCATCGACAAGCATCACTCAGAACGAGAACTTGTCATTTGATTAGGCTATTGGGCAGATTTTCTTGTAGAGCATTGCAGCAAATTTGGTGTAAATCGCTGAGGAATTTAATAGAAGGTTTAACCGTGGACAACGATCAAATTGTGAGGCTTGTAAGTAACAAAATGCATATTCAGGTGAATCGCTTAACACAGGTTCAAGATTACATACCAAGTATACTTTCAGGCCGCCGAAGATGCAGTGAACGAATTAAAGGAATTAATGTACTACAATCAACAAAATCCTGTTACTTGATGCATCTTCCTTACATGTTTTAACATTTTTTTTTTCTCCTTTGTACTCGAGAATCAGAAATATGAATATTATTTTTTCCTTTTTTATCGAACTAAATAGTATTTTACCATTATTGTTATTTTTTATTATTCGTATATTTTACCGAAGTCCAGTTGAAACATCCGCAAATTTTCACATTCAATTAAGATGGTAAATCGAGTATCCATTCGATGGCGGATACATCGTCCAACGAATCGTCGTTATCCATTGTTTTATTCACTTGCCGATCACGACATTCCTCTTTATACATTTCTTGCAACTTTAGCATATCCTTGACGCTGAGTCCTTTTCGTTGGCCAAGTTTGATCTCTTCCTTCTGCACAAAAAAACGGGCATTGAACAGATAGTAAAGAGAAAAGGAGGCTATGAAAGATAGGAAATAATAATTCATGAAATCGTCGATTACATACTTTCGGTGCAATAGTCGGGTCACCATTTTTCGAAAACGCATAGGAACTATAGTGCATCACGCTCATATAATCGTAACTGATTCCATAGTCAGTGACAGTTTTATTGTCATATTTATTAAAATTGTGCTCCTTCCCTGTATAAAATACATCACGATAACGCGAATAAATTTCAGTTCTCTGATTCAAATCTGTCAATATCGAATCTGTCGAATATAAAAGTAATTGACAAATTACCTGGTTTTATATTTTCCCAATTTATCGTGACCCATTCGTCACGATCCGCAGCACTTTGTTGGTGATAAAAGCCTAGTGCGTGCATCAGCTCGTGAACAATCACACCGTGTTGCACGCATCCTGGATTTTGTAAATTTACAACTTGTCCACGATCGTGTCTGCCAACTAAAGACCAACATCCCGACATCTTGCCCTCTATAGTGACATAGTCACGGTCGGTTTTCTGATAAGGACGAAAACGTATACACGTATTTTTGTGATATTCTTTCATAGCACCCTCGATTAACTCGATGTCCTCCTCGTCTACGGTAATAAATACAATGACATTTCATATCGGTGTTTAATATCGACATCTTGTAAGTAACACAAGAAATCGAATTACCGAAATCCTCTTCCTTTATATAATACGGTACAACTCCACCTGACCAACGAAACTTGGCATTTACCAGACCATTTTTTGCACCATTTTCTTCCGTGTTAAGCATTATATCTCCTTCGTACAAACCGCTCAATTCCCACACGTTCTGTTTCTCCGCTTTTGTCCACGATCTTATGCGATTCGCTATCAACAATAAATAACAGATAACGTTTCGATGAAAACGTATTTTTCTGCTTGTACCAATGATACATACCGATGGTTTGATGCGCGTGAGTTTCGTTGAATGTGCCTTGAAATTTCGGCGTTGGTGGTATGATCTTTCTCTCGGGAACGTGATTGATCACGTACGAATCGACAACGATTCTCGTTACGATAAACAGCATTATTACCATTTTACCATTTGTTAAGTAATACATCTTTACCGGAAAAACAATGGGAGCTCGACCGTTTTTCCTTCCTTACAAATCAGCAACCGAAATACGTACTACGATACGTATTTTGCAACCGTGATTTTTATATGTGGAACAAAGGTATACATGTGCACACTCTTTTTGTACCCTTGTCTCGTGTATATCATTATCAAACGTTACTTGTTAAAACTTGCTCGTAACCGATATGCGCAATCGTTTCCGTTGATTACTCCTGAATCGGTTAAACACCGCAGCTTCTATTACACGAATAGTGATATCACGATATATACGATAGAGCTAACGTTATTCGATTCATCTTAATACATTAGTTTACGTCATAAACGCATACTATTTTGAGAGATGATCATCGCGAAGACGATTATGGTATATTTAAGGCATAATATATTTTTGTGCTAAAATAATATATTGTATAACAATGCAAATTTATGGTGAACGATAACGAGATCGCGACGAGAATATCAATTTGAGTCATTAACTAGTCACCTCCGTATATGATTAACAGTTATCTTTGTAACTATTCCTTTAAAGGGACTAACATTTTTAACTTTTCTGTTAGGTACTTAAATACTACTCAAATATCAAAGTATGCCCTGGCCTGATTTGCCCTGAAATTCATGTCTCGGTGAATTTTCTACTTATATACTGTATTATAATTTTTCGAAACAAAGTAGAGAAAATGACGACAATGACGACGACAATGACGAGGACAATCAACATTGGTACCACCGGGTATATAGGCCAAAATGATACAGTGGTTAACCATGTAATGCAGCATTTGGATATGTCATCTGGGAATTATTCCGCGCCTTTCTCTCGTGCTCTTATACTTTGTTGCTATATCTTCGTTTGCTTTCGATCTCTGCTACAATCGTTTCGTTTACCATAGCTTCCATTATCATATAATACTCGAAGACGAGACGAAGGACCTCGCGTTATTCTAACCGTTCTGAAATTAACGCATTTTCTCCAGTCCCCGTTGGATTAATCGTTTATCGTGACTCTTGGTATTCCAATATCGATATCTTTATTTAATATATCCATACGGACAAACATTCTGGCGTTTGAAAAAATCTATCGAATTATAACGATCAGAGGATTCGATATTGGAATTTCTGGTGAAATATTCGGAACTATTTTCATATTTCAATCGCTTTGCAACGGTTCGATTATTTTCGAATGTGGAAAGTGCGTGAAGAGAACGGGAATGTCTCGTGTCGCGTGTCCAAGACAATCACTGGTAAAACTTGTAATCACGCTTGAAAATCTTTTCAAAGAGCGATCGAAGCAAGGTCAATGACCAGCATGTTCCAGATTCGAGTAGGAGCTCCACATAGCCTAAATTCTAACCGGATTTCTTGGAACCGCAAGCGAGCAGAATGATTCTTTCGCGTCTCTTACGGCGAATACATCCCAAGTATATACTTTTACAAGCACCTACGATAGGTAACGACCGGTCGAAAAATTAATTGAAATTTTCTTTACTCTCTCCCGCTATAAATTACGCTACGATTACCTTTTCTTCGTGTATCAAATTATTTCGTTTCTTTACGATCGTTTGAATGGAAAAGAAACAAGTCGAAGCATAAATATAACAGAAACATATAGAAATATAAACGAGTTTTTAACGATTAGTCTGAAATTAAAGTGTGAAAATTCATCTATCGTGAATAAACGATCGTATTTAGCGTTCAATAAGGATTTTAGCGATGAATCGATCGATAGCGTTCAAAGGTATGCGAACAAACTCGGAACATAGTCGAGGAAGTTCTGCTCTCGTTCGCATATGTGTACAAATACATATTCTCGCGAGATACGCTATATCAATCCATCGTGGACTACTGACCCACTGGTAACCACTGGGAATCATTGGGACTCATTGAAACACATTGGGTAGTGTCAGGGGATTCGTCCTATCGGGAAGATATTTCGGTAGTACGTACACTGACCAAAAAAACCATACTCTTTTACGGTTCACTGACCTCGTCCAGCCTCTTCGTATTCTATCTTCTTCCTTTTATCTTTATCCTTGTCTCTCCATCCATTTACGTATAGTTCTCCCACCCCACCCCCACCCCCCACCCCGTCTCTTTCTCAAGCTTGTTCCGTTTATCTTTGCCTGCTTTTCGTCGTTTGCCACTTGCAGTTGCTAATGTAACGATCTTTACAACGATGAATATAAAATTGAAGTAAGAAAAGAAAAAATGACAATGCACATTGACTAGTACGTGCAAGCACGTGGACATTGGGCCGTTATCTAGCGAGTCACGCGTAACAATGCCCTCCGCTTTCTTGGACATAAATTCCTATCTCCTACAATTCCATTCCATAGCCTTTTCATATTTCCTTTCATTCGCTTTTTCCTTAAACGCATCGATTCCTTTCATTGTCTATTTCTCCCAATTTTCTTCCAATTTTCTTCCAATTTTCTTCCAATTTTCTTCCATCCTACAACTTTCCATTCCATTCTTTTATTCGATTTACCCATTTTCGTCCTTTTTTTTAACATATCCGAAAAGGTCGTAGATAATCGCTCAGACTAGACAGTTTTGTCATCTAATTTATTCGTTTATTACCTCTCTTTGGGTCTCTCTCTCTCTCTCTCTCTCTCTCTCTCTCTCTCTCTCTCTTTCTCTCTTTCTCCCCATTTCCATACTTCGTTCCCCTCTCTTGTTCTGAACGCTACTCGTTCAGGTAACAAATATTTTCGAGCTCTCGACTCGGTCATACACCTGTGAGAGTGAAAGTGTCCTCCATCCCCACTAAGAAACTTTGTACCGTATAACCATGCTTACGAAGAACAGCTTCGACACTAGAGGAGACACCAGAAGCTACACCAGAAGCGACATTGCTACTGCTATTATCGTTGTCATCGCCTATTGCTACTGCTTTCTTCACCACTGACAATATATAGGTATACTCTTATCATCATCTTTATCGCTATCCCTCGATAATTATCTCTATTTGTCCATTTTTATCGCCACGTTTACTCGTGTCGGCATTTCGCGATTCCTTTCGATATTTTTCCATATCCTTCCAAACAAGTTGTTCAGGTTTTCAAAAATCTTCCAATTTCATCAGAATACTTTTCATTCGACTTTTTCAATTTCTAATACAGCGTTTATAATTGTTCTCTATGCTTAACACGATAAATTAGTTTAATTCGAACACTTACTGGACGGACAGTATACATACACGTATCATTGTATATTGTATATAGAGGCGAAGAAATGTTTGCGACACGGGACAAAAATTTCCACTTTCATATTCTGGCCCTATATTTCCTTTTCTCTAAATTCTATTCATTTTCATGATGGAAACATGAGGGGGGAGAGAGAGAGAGAGAGAGAGAGAGAGAGAGAGAAAGAGGGTGAAAGAAAATGATAGAAAATGAAGGAAAATGAAAGAAAAGAAGGAAAAGTACGTGGCAACTGCCTGTAAAGACACTGGATGGTTTAAAAGGAATCGAAGAGAAAGTAAGATGGTAAAGGCAAGTATACGCGTCTGTTAGAAATATAACACGCGTACCTTGATGTGTTTAAAAGACATCAAAATGCTTTCATCGATGTATTACCTCTCGAGGAGAAATTTCGAAAGGTGTGTTCCATAATTTTTTACCGTACTTTTCTACGGGCACAAACACCAGTCGAAATAATACAGACAATCTTACGGGGTATAGACGCGCGGTAGTTTGCGATCGAACCCGAGGTAATAAACCCAGAAACGCCAGTCGGGGCCAATACACCCACCTTCTTTTATAGGGCAACGAACTCGGTACTCTCGTACCGTATCGCGAACGTAGTGTCACTCGCGTCAGCCTTTATTCGCATATCAAGTTGAAAGAACCACAATCGAGATTCATCGATGAATTGTTCGCAATTGACAATCATGACATTTTGGTTTTCTAACTTGGCTTCATCTGTTCTTCGAGTTTATCGAGTTTAGACAGATAGTTTCCGTGATATTATATCACGTATGTACATATGTAGATACTTACATATCGATCGATGCAATGCTCTGAAATTGTATTTCTCCTAGTGGATCGTTGGCTAGATTTTCGATCGCGAAATAATATGCGTACACGCGTAATCGTCGTGCCTTCTTCTCCTCTTGGTAATCATGGTCAAACACGTTGAACTCTTTCCGAAATGCTTCGATATAATTTTACGTAATAGTGCGAGCAACGAACCGTTTCTCCATTATCATCTCCTCTCGCCAAGAATATTTCGTTTGGTTCGACGGTCCGTCCTGCATCGGACACAGAGTGGTAAAATGGCATGCCTGCGAAGTACGAAAGTCGTGAAAATAGCGTATTAACGAAATTAGCATAAGAGGAGAAAGTCGCGGTCGTCGGCCGCACGACCACCTTTGGTTCAACTGTCGAATCTGCGAATTCTGGTGCGAACGGCTCCCGTAACCGAAAGATCGAGATGTGACGACAACGAGGAACCAATCGAGCATTCCAAGAGAGACACGAGCACGCACGCGCAGCGAAGGCAAAGAAGCCGGGAAATATGAGGGAAAAAAGAGAATAAAAGGGATAAAGGAGAAGAGAGAAAATGAGAGATCCGTGGTGAATAAATCGGATAACAATTTATCTCTTTTCTTTATTTCGTGCCCGAAAACATAACATAGATACAATAACAGCGATATCCATTTTTCTCGATTCCCTCGAGAGATTATCTTTTATTCTTCGTTACCTTTTTCGTTATCCTCTTCGTTCGTATCGGCCAGCCTACTCGATTTCCTTCGGGACAGACATCCTAACGATACCGATCTCGTTCTATCACGGTATTTATAATTCCCACGAGTAGATACTGTACGAATAATTTCAAGTGTCGAATTATTGTTAAACACCAAGCGTATAACTAGCCGTCGTTTATCGTCGATTGTCGATAACTAATTAAAAATGAATGGTTGGAGTTGTTGGCCGGTCTCGACACGTCGCATTACGATGCGACTCGCATACAGGTGAATAAACTTGAGAAATTTATCGAGGAGAAACGATGATCTCTCGCGAGCAAAGAAAAGGACCCTAACCTTGATAACTGGATCCAGCCAATGACCCCAGTCGATCGTTGCCCCCGTTCTACCTGCTTACCAGAAGAATTAGAGGAAAGAGGTAGATAGACTGATAACTATGCGCCAATCTTGCATCGTGTTTCAGCATTCAGCTTCTTTTCCTTTTCTTTCTTTTCTCCCAAAATCCCCATCTCCGAACACGATTAAAGTCCAGCTCGAGAATCGTCATTCTATGTTTCTCTAGATAGAGATGTATCGAAGATGAATTATGATACGGATAAAATTGAAAAATAAAAAAACGAAAAGGAGGCGAAAGAGAGTGAAAAGAAACAAAGAAAAGAAGACGCCGCTCGTTCGGATCTAGTGCAAAAAGATACACGAAAAGGTGCAAGGGATACAGGAACAAGAGGTAGAGGAGTGGTGAAAGAGGGAAAGAATTACAAAGAAAAATTGCATCGTTTGTCCATGAGAATCGACGATCGGCATAAAGTGCATTATACCCTTCGAAGAGAATCGAGAAAAAGCTTACCGTCATCAGCCAGCCGACCATTCGTGTTTTACCAACCGGCGGTCCTTGGAGAAAAATCCATCTTATCGAACTCGGAGTAGTTGACCTTAAGTCAAACGAAAAATAACGATTTTATATTAAAAAGTTGAGCAACCTATCGCAAACACAAATCCTGTACCAGTAGCCTCCACTCATCGTCCATAAAGGACTTTTCGCAGGGCCTGTAAGCTTTTCGGAAACACACGTTCGCATAGAGGAGACTAGGCAAGATATATATGAAACCATATGTCTCAGGGTGCCCGGCAGTGCGTGGACTACGTTCCGTCGTTCTAATTCAATTATACCTCTGGCTATGATACTTGCGTACTCGAGATCCGTGACAATTCTAACTTACGTAGCGAAATCTTCTTTTTCAATGACAACGCTAATTCTCACTAAACGGCATGCATATGGCATACGGATAGGTCACTAATAGATCACGCGAGGATTTTGAATACGAAAAAGGTACACACATGCCGCATATATCAAACAGTGCTTTAAACTTTAAACTTTGAACTTTGAACTTTAAACTTTGAACATTAAACTTTGAACTTTAAACTTTGAACTTTAAACTTTGAACTTTGAACTTTGAACTTTGAACTTTGAACTTTGAACTTTGAACTTTGAACTTTGAACTTTGGACTTTGGACTTTGGACTTTGAACTTTGAACTTTGAACTTTGAACTTTGAACTTTGAACTTTAAACTTTAAACTTTGAACTTTGAACTTTAAACTTTGAACTTTAAACTTTGAACTTTAAACTTTGAACTTTAAACTTTGAACTTTAAACTTGGACTTCGCCTTCGCCTTCGCCTTCGCCTTCGCCTTCGCCTTCGCCTTCGCCTTCGCCTTCGCCTTCGCCTACGTCTTTCCTCGGATTGTTTCATATCAACTTTGATGATTCCTGTCCATCTTTACGATCATCGTAATGAAGGTGTATGGTGAAAGTGAGTAGAACACGAGGACGCGTTGCACCGAAAACTTAAGTTACGTTTATCCAATTTCTGCTGATCTCAGACAACGAAAAGCAGTGTTAGCAATTATAGCGATGATAAAATCGCGACACCGTATCCACCGAGTAAGAAAAGATAGTTGCGTTGTTAACCTCTTCGTAGGTAGCGGACTTTCATCACGGTGCTCTGCGTTAGGTTAGAGTACTATTCTAGCGCGGTAATGAAAATCGAAGAATACTTGAAACTATCGTAAATCTATCGAAAGATAAAAAGTTGCCTTCTGTTATTCAGTAAAAGACAATGAATGAACGACGGATCAACTAATGGATAGGCATCAACGTACGACAAATGCAGGCAGAGGTTTGTCAAAGATTTGTGTCCGTAGTTTTGGAAGCTTCGGTGCGCGACATTGTTTCCACTCGTGTACGAGTTTTAAAATCTGTCGTTATTCGAATCGTTGTATATATTTAATCTGGAATGAAATCTTTGAATTCGGAAAAAGCAGAAATTGAACATGAATTGTTCGTAGAATAAATTTTAATCGATCCGATCGTGTCACTCGTGTCGACGTAGCTGTGTCACAATTGTAAAACAGTAGATCGGCGATTTGATAGTCAAAAATTCAAGTTGCTTCTGTTCTCACTCTTGTCAGGCTTGACTCGGTTAAACAACCAAGTGCCGATAACAATCGTACTACGTACAAGGAATCATATGGCATTTTACAGCCTGCTCGATAGTTGTTCGATCGTTCTCGTTGCAAGTGGATGGTATTTTTTGTCTCCATCGTTTCATGTTTGTTCACTAACGTGAAGATAATCTTTCCATTTACTTTGATATTACTGGCAGAGAACTGCTACTACTACGCTACGACTATGCGGTAAGGACACGAATATTCAAAGGAACATTGAGAAACTGAAAATTGAATTTTCTTCTATAAAACTATTCACCTTTATTGCCGTTAAACTTTTAAACAGTGTTTTATTTAACTTCGTTAGAAAGTATAACTTTCTTCTACATTGCATTTTCTATATCTATTTATTTCTTGTTACAGATAAGGCAACGAATATCGTGCCAGAAAATTCGACTTGACCAACATCGTCATCGTCACGATCAATCCAGTGAAAAAAATACATCAGATATCATCGGATCAAACTAGCGTTCACGATGAATTTCGTTTATGCGTTATTCTTTTTAGCTTTTTCTCTTCTCGTATATATTTTCTATAGAAATCGAAAGGTACGTCGTTTGCCACCCGGTCCGTGGCAACTTCCGATCGTTGGTTATCTCCCATGGATCGACGGAGGAAAACCGCATGAAACTTTGACAAAATTAGCCAGAGTTTACGGACCTGTGTGCGGATTTCGTATGGGTTCCGTTTATACTGTTTTATTGTCAGATCCCCAACTGATACGGCAGGCTTTCGCGAAAGATGCATTCGCTGGCAGAGCTCCTTTGTATCTTACACATGGAATTATGCAAGGATACGGTAAGATTAACTCTATTAGCTCTCATACTTACCTGATTACCATTTCCAGTACTTGCTTACATCTCTCGCAGTGTCTAATCTTCATACCTACCTTCGCATCTATTCCTTTTATCTCGCTTTCTTTATAAGTCTTCTTCGCATCTATTCCTTTTATCTCGCTTTCTTTATAAGTCTTCTTCGCATATAATAATACAAGAATACGATACTCTTATTTATGCTATATATGCTCTTATTTATATTAAATTTATTTTCAACAGCATATATAAAGAAAAACGAATATAGCATTGATATTAGTACTTTTCATTATTATTAGTACTTTTCATCGTCTAACACGCGAAACGCATCGCGAAACGTATCGCGAATTATAATATGCGATGCAAATCGAATCAAGATTTAAAAAGAACGGAAGATTAGAAAAATAGGTGGCTGGTTTTTACGATAATTATCCTAATCTTACCCTATCCGAGTTGAACGGTAACGCGTATTTACAAATCTCTATGCCAACTATAGCTCGCTATTAAGAAAATGCCTACGTTGATTTTTCGAATAACAACAAGAAAAGGGCCAACTTGATAAAGCATGATAAATAGTAATAAAAACGAATGTCCAAGTTATATATGTTAGAATAGAAGAATTGTGAATAGAATTGTTGAATAGAATAGTAAGCTTTTCCGATCGTTGCTTCCAAGTCTATTTACTTGTCGTTACTTTGCGCAGGTCTAGTTTGCGCCGAAGGAGAACGATGGAAGGAGCAAAGGAAATTCGTTAGTAACTGTTTACGAAACTTTGGAATGGTAAAGCACGAAGGGCCACGACGAGAGAGGATGGAGAAACGAATATCGGAAGCGGCGGACGAATGTGTATCGGTATACGTTGTTTCAATCTGAATTAGAATATTGGTCAATTGTAATCTTTACTGGAACTGCATTCGGATTCGATTCGCATTCGATTCGCATTCGACTCGCATTCGACTCGCATTCCACTCGCATTCGATTCGATGCTTTAGCATGATACGTCATACGTCATACGTCATACGTCGTCATACATCATACGGAGAACTTTCGATACCATTTTGTTTACCCGTGTACGATAGGTACTGAAAGAACGTGCGGCAAATGAACCGATCGATCCATTAAACACGCTTCATCACTGTATGGGTAATTTCGTTAATAGCATCGTGTTTGGAAAAACGTACGAAGAGGAAGAAGAAGTTTGGAAATGGTTGAGACATTTGCAGGAAGAGGGAGTGAAAGAAATTGGCGTGGCTGGTCCCCTCAACTTTTTACCCTTTCTCAGGTACATTCATCCACGAATAATATTTATTACTACGAATATACTATAACCGGTTTCATAACCAAACGATAGAAATACTGACGAATGCTGCAATAAAGTTATACTATCGAACATGCACTAGAACAGCAAACGTGCCTATATACAATGATAATATGGGAGTGTAGAATATATAGATGGGAGTATAGATTGTATATTTAAAACTTTGGATCACGATAGAACTTTTTATCAAAGATCTGATAAAAAGGAAATCAAAATTTCGAAGCTATGAAATTTACTTGTTAGATTTTTACCTTGGTACGGACGTACGATACGGACTATCGTCGATGGAAAGGAGAAAACGCACCAGGTGTATCGTGGAATACTCAGTGAACACCGAGCGCGAATCTCAAAAATGCCGGAAAGTAAAAATAAAATCGAAAGCTTTTTGGCGGCATTCGACGAACAAATGAGAATGAGAAACGCTACGGAATCTGGCCATTTCACGGAACCACAACTTTACCATTTATTAGCGGACCTTTTTGGTGCCGGAACTGATACAACCCTGACTACCCTTCGTTGGTTTCTCTTATTCATGGCTGCTTATCCTACGGAACAGGTAAATATACCTGCTGGAAACGTTATTCGTTCTACCATTACGATTCTTTCCCAACCAACTCTTTTAATAGCAACTCTTTTTAATACGCGATACGATGCATAAAAAAATGAATCGTTGATAATTCTCGATGATAATTCGTAGGAAAAAGTACAGGCAGAAATGGATCGATATCTGCAAGAAGGAAATGAACCTACTTTGAATGACAGAACCGGCATGCCTCGGCTCGAAGCTGCTTTGGCCGAAGTGCAAAGGCTGAGGAGCGTTACTCCGCTTGGCATTCCTCATGGAACGTTAGAGGTATACCATATGTAAATAAGTATGTATTTCTATCTGCAGTAAATCTCAAGTAAATATATACGGCTCGAACGAAAAAGAGCCAAAGAACGATTTTACAGTCATCGCATTATTTTCGAAGGAAAATTTTCTTTTTCTCCAGGATTCGCGTATCGGTGATTACGATGTGCCACGCGGTACCATGATCGTGCCTATGCAATGGGCTGTCCATACCGATCCAGCTTACTGGAAAGAACCCCTCGAATTTCGACCCGATAGATTCCTGACCGATGATGGAACTTTCTTTAAACCGGAATCGTTTCTTCCATTCCAAGCTGGTAATTTTATCTTTTCTTTTTCTTTCTTTCTGCACATTTTCTTCCTGCGATCAAACATAACGGCCACATCAAAACGTCCGTTTCTTCCGTTTCCTTTCAAATCGTTATATCATTCCGTTATATCGTATATCGTTCTATTCAAAGGAAAACGTGTCTGCGTCGGAGAGGAACTCGCTAGGATGATACTGTTCTTGTTTGCCGGAAGGATATTGCGTGCATTCGTTATATCCGTTCCATCAAACGAAACCGTCGATCTGGAAGGTGAATGCGGTATCACACTCGTACCGAAGCCCCATCGCTTAGCGTTCGCTACGCGACGGATTATTATTCATAATCGGTAACAGACCATTTCCTCTTTCCCTTTTCTTACCTTTCTCCACTGGATTATTGGCTTATTCGCCAGTACCCACGATTACTAATATCCAACTGTTACGAGTATTTTTTCATCGAAATAAATACCTTTGACAACTCGTATACCCCGCTTCGACTATCGATCATTTAGTAATGGTTTCTCCTTTCCTCTCTCTTACCCCTCCATGTCTCTCTCTTCTTCTCTCCATTTTCCTCTCTTTCTCACCTCTTTCTTACCTATTTCTCACCTATTTCTCACCTACTTCTTACCTATTTCTTACCTATTTCTTACCTATTTTTTGCCATTTACTCGTGTTTTATGTATCTTTTCTTGTTTAAATACATGCCTGTTTTACGCCGTCCGTCAGCCCTCGGACCTTAGCTTCCTACCCTCGTTCCTTGATTTTTCCTCCCACGGCCATGTACTTGAATTTGTGAAACATACGATCAAATCCTCATGACACGAACGTATCAGAGTCCTTTACATTCCTTTATCCCTTCCTTCCTCGCATGGCGGACCGACATTTCGAGCGTACTAAGATAGGAAAATACCGAATAAATGTCCAAGTAAGGATAGCGAAAATAAGGGAGGGTAATAATCTATCGAATCCAATAGGTTAGTAAATAAAAAAACGGGGAATGTAATTTTTCAATTACAAAGAATCAAGAATATAATCCTGATAATCGAGCAAGATTCGTTTTTGTGGATAAGTAACGATGCGAGAATTCGTCGAATAACCACGTCCACTGATTTCCGTTAAATAAACACAAAACACTGATTTATTTCGCGAATGCAAAAAAAAAGAAAGAATAGAAAGAAAGGAGAAAAGAGGAGACATGCGTTATTAATCAGAATTACAAGTTAAATGAAACGAGAAGTAACATGTTTAATGATCGATTAACATCAAGTAACACAGATTCGCGATCGGCGGATGAACACAATGCGATGCGCCGTAATTCGAACATGTCACGCTTAAATTTCTTACCGGTGAATACAAACGAACCATCGACGCGCTGTTTCCTACGCGGCGTCCAAGCTCGGTATAGCAAATGGAATGTAAAGGAAACGTAAAGGGAACGTAAAGGGGGACGTAAAGCGAGGAAAGAAATGAGAAATGAAGACGGTTCTACAACATAAAGAAATGAAGAAGTCGCGTCGATGGTTCGTCGGCTTTCGCCTGACACGTAACAAAAATATCTTTGGAAATGATTTTACGATCGCGATATCACAGGGATCTCGTGGGTCCCATGTCCTAAATTCGAAATTCACAGCCTTAATCTCTTTGCCCGCACCGAACGGATCGAGTTCTATGCCGGTCTTGAATTCTGAAACGCCACGTAACTATATACAACACCGTGGTGTCGCAAGAATCTCTCGTTCTAACTTTCACGAAAATCACTGTTCTAGGTCAATAGCCGCGTCCATCTGACTCGCAGCCCTCTGCGATCTAATCCGTTCGAACGGTTAGCCGCGTGAAAACTTTCGAACGATAAGGGAAAATACAAACACGCATGCGCACACTCATAGCGTATTTCCTATGCGATTACAGTTTTTCACCAACTCGTTTCACGAACACCCCAAAATTCTTATTCTATCACTACATCCCACTATCGCTATAATCGATATTGCCATTATTGTCGTTGCTATCTTCGCTACTGTCATCGCTAACATTACTAACATTATCAACATACTACTACATTTACAACCGTTGCTGCCATTGCCGCTAGCTTATTACTAATACCGTTATTAACAATTATTCCTTTCGCCATCTTCTCTATCTACAAGTCTTTTGTCTCTTTTTGCCTCTGAGACTGCGTCAAGACAACAAATCCAATAACGCCAAGATTCGTCATTATTAAACCGTTTTCATAAATCGTCTTCGACATCAATCCAACTATCGAAATATCGAAAGACATGCAATCACGTTTCAAATCATTCAACCTTAAACATACGTTTTGTCCCGACATACATCTTCTAGGTAACACTAATGACTAAATGCGAATAAATAAGCAGCGAAAGAGCTTTGTTTCGACGCGTCGGCCAGTAAACGCAAGGCAACCGGACAAACGAAAATCGTGAAAAGTCAATGTCACGTGTAACGAGTTTCACGATAGTAAACGCTTTTGTTAAAGGATTAAAGGAATCTCAACGGGATCTCAAAATCGATGAATTTCATCTCGAAGATCGATTCAACGCCGAGAATAATCTTACGAGATTGGTTAAGCACGAACAAGGTCGGTGGATCGAGTCGGATAGAATCGGATCGGGTCGGTCTCGTTAGGAACGATTACCGTGTGTGTGTGTGTGTGTGTGTGTGTGTGTGTGTAAGAGAGAGAGGAGCATTGAGGAAAACGGCAATCTCAGTGACTGCCGATATTTCGCAGTATGGCACCAGAGGAAATCATATCGTTATTCGCATCTTCGATGAGGTCCAGATTTCTTGGTAATAAGCAAACGTCGAAAGGGTCAGGCGTGACGGTCACACCGGCATTACCACGCAAACTCGGCAAGGACGAACCCTGTGGCGATCGCAACTCAAATGTGTGCATCAACGAACTAAAGAACAAGAATAATTCCATACGTGCCAACACATCGCCGAGACACATACGTCTGCCAACACCGAAAGGCATAAAGTATTCCGGTTTCTGGACTTTACCTTCGGCCGAGAGAAACCGACTCGGCCGAAACTCCTCGGGCTCCTCCCAAAGTTCTGGATCCATATGTACAGCGTGTAGCAATGGCACCACTTGCGATCCAGCTGGTATCGTGTAACCGTGTAACGTCACATCTCTGAAACATTTCCACGACTTTCAATCATACCAGTCTCTTCTTTCTTCTCTCTCTCTCTCACTCTCACTCTCTCTCTCTCTCTCTCTCTCTCTCTCTCTCTCTCTCTCTCTCTCTCTCTCTCTCTCTCTCTACTCTCCCTCTCTCTCCCTCTCTTTCTCTTTTCCTTCCGCCTCGCCTATCCACGCTTCGTGCGCCTCAATGCGTTAAACGTCTCGTCTCGTCTTTATTCCTTTCACTTCTGCCATTGACCGTTTCTCCACTTTTGCCTCGCTAGCCTTTACTTCTTACGATAATATAACGCATGATCGTTAAAGCGACCATTTTGATAATTAAACCGCGATACGTCGATTAGGAAAAAATGACAACGATATTTCTAATTACCTTGTAGTCGCGTGAGTGGTACCCAAAGGAACGATACTAGATCTTCTAAGAACTTCGAGTATCGTCGCTTCTGTTATCGGAAGAAAAGGGAGATCCTCTAGGGCAGGCATCCTCGATTTTCCTACCACCTGATCCAATTCTTCCTGTACAGCAGTTGCCGCATCCGGGTGATGTAGCATCAAGATCATGGCCCATTCCAGCGTGGTTTTCACCGTTTCCATGCCAGCAGAGAACAAATCGCCGAGTATTTGTTGCATTTGACGATCTACGATTAGTTAAGAAGACAAAAGGATAAATCGTTAGAGATAAATCATGACATGGAGAATCAATTGAGAAAGAAGAAACGAGAATCTCGATCATACATCGTATCGTCACCGTTGTCTTACCGTGATTCTTTCCTTCAAAGAGCATTTTAGCGCGACCTTCTCCCTTCGCTTTCTCGATCTCGAGCAAATACGCATCGACGAGATCTCGCACGGTGCTTTCATCGAACGTTGCTCGATGCTGATCGACTGCTTCTTGAAAAAAATCAGCCATTTCTGCACGATTTTCCGATATCTTGTTTCGAACCTTTTGCAAACAAGGCAAATAACGCATTACGGGAATAAAGTTGACAGCAGCCATACTGCCAAATAACTTGAAACCTTCCTCGATCAGGTCCATGAATCTTTTGAATCTATCGTCACCGTGTTGAAAACGAACTCCCATTATGATGGAACAAATAACATTGCTAATCGACATGCCAAGGGATGCGGAAACGTCCGTCGGTGTACCTTGTTCCGATGCTAATCCACGAAGAAACGTCTTCACTTCGCGCTAAAATCAAATATGATACATTCAACGTGCATTCTTTCCATTCCAATTCTCTCTCTCTCTCTCTCTCTCTCTCTCTCTCTCTCTCTACTAAAGCAACGAAGGGACGAATTTGTCGAGAAATCGCGCGATTATACCGTATAGCATAAGGAAAGAAGGAATACGTATGTACGTAGAGGAATAGAAAATGAGATTTTTCAATATATAGCGCTCACCATGATTCTCGATTCCATAATTTTCTTTCCACCGCCCATATAGGTCATGCCGAAGCCTCTGAGTTTATCGTGAAGAAATTTTCTTTGGTCTTTCCACATAGCACCTTCGGTGTTGATAATACCTACGAGAGAAAAACTTCTGAGCTACAAAAGCGAATGAAACTGACCAGCTCACTGAATAGGATTATCTCGAATAAACAAAACAGATTCAGCAGATTTTAATTCATATGGAACAAAATATAAATTCTTTACAAAATGTATACCAATTTTTCTATCGACAATCACGGAATCGAAAGAATCGGTGACGCGAAAAAATTGTTTTTAAAGTAGAGCGAATAAAACTTTTCGACAAAGAAAAGAAAAACGAAATGAGAGAGAGAAAGAGAGAGAAATGGAACGCGTGCATGCAGTAGCGAGAAAGTTGATAGGAAAAAGAGGAAAAGTATTAAAGGAAATGTAATGGGAAAGACAAAGTAAAATATCTGGAAAAGAGCAAATTCGAGATAAAGCTGGTTATCGGAAAGCGAGAATGACAAGCGTCACATGGTATACACTTACCGTATCCGCCGAGGATGTTGATGAACTCGGTATGCGGTCTGCCAGTAAACTCTTCCCGACGAAACGTGTCGCGAATTGTACGGTGATCGCTAAGAACAACCACCAGTTGCGTTCCTAGTCGTGCACTGAACATTGGACCATACTTTTTTGCCAGTTCTCCGTACTGGAGGTGAACGTCGCCTTTCAGAAATGGCAAATAACCAAACACGGGTACACCCCAAGGCCCTGGAGGCAGAGAGCGCACATACCTAAGCCATTGCAAGCACCTTGCTACCAATAATACACCTAGGAATACGAGAAATGTGTAAAGGACCTCGATTCTCGTACCACCCATTGCTTGCCAAGCCCAATGCTTCGCGTGTTCCACTAACATCGCGCGATTTCCACTAAGTACTCTGTCCTGTCAACTTTGATACGCCTTTCGTCCTTTCCTCCTATATCTCAAACTTCTCCTATCAATTTCCTTAATCCGAAATAAACTCGCGCTAGCTGCCCCTTAATCTTCATATACTATTATTATTCGCTTCCTTCGTACTGTGCTTTCCCCTTTCGGTTATGTCGTCCTATGTTGCACTTCCTTTTCGTAACTTTGATTTTCTCCACCTTCCCTTACTCTCCTTACTTTTTCTCTTTCTTCCTTCCTCGATTTCTTCTTACGCCTTAATCTTACGCACGATCTTCGTTGTTACTTCCTATTTTTTCCCTTTCTCCTTCCTTCTTTCGATTTTCTTTTCTTCTCCCTCTCGTGCCTTCGGATCGTTGCCTCTTTCTTGGTTTTCCAACCCTTTTTCTCTATCTACCTCTCCCTCCCTCACTCCCTCCCTCGCTCCTTTTCTCCCTCTCTGTCTGTCTGTCTGTCTGTCTGTCTCTCTCTCCCTCTCTCTCTCTCTCTCTCTCTCTCTCTCTCTCTCACACACACACACACACACACACACCCTCCCGCCCTCTCGCTCTTTCGATCTCTCTCTCTCTCTCTCTCTCTCTCTCTCTCTCTCTCTCTCTCTCTCTGCGTTTGCCTTATCCCTTTCGCTTTCTACGTTTCTCCCTTTATTCCTCCTTTTTTCGTTACGATACACGTACACACGATGCAACGAAAAACACGTTCAAGCTTCCCCTTAGCTGGTTTCGTATCGACGTGAACACAATTTTCCTACTCGAAACGATGCTTCCGAAATTCGCGGCTTTAAGTATCAAATCTGACCAGACTGGTGGGGCATACTCTGGAGGGGAATATATGCAATGGGAGGGGGTAAGGAGAGCGTTCGCTTGTGTGCGTTTGCGTTGCGTACGCGCGCGTGCGCGCGTGCACGCGTGTGTGCACGTGTGCGAGAGCGAAGAATCAAAGTGCTTTGTCAAACGGTAATCCTTGTAGCCGATTTAACGCGTTACGCAGTAATTGGGATAACGCGATGAAATTAGAGAAAAAAGAGACGAATGCGAGACGTAGCGTCGATAAGGTGACATCTAAGATGAACCTGGTTAGAAAAACCGCAAAATGTAACAGCAACAGGTTGAAACGGCAGGTAGAAAGAACGCATGCATATGCATACAGGTGGCAAACGCGCCCGTTTTTGCTTACGTATCAGGGGAAGAAACGTGGTAGGAGAATCAATGGAAGTAATGAACAACAGAGAAAGAGAAGGGGGTGGAGTGGGCGTGGGGTGGGATGGGAGCGAGAGAGCGAGTTAACCGATTATTTAACGAAGTAGTGGAATATGATACGAGAGAAAATAATCGGGGAATAGAAGAGTTAGGAAAAGAAGGTATAAAGGAAATAAGAGAGAGAAAGAGAAAGAGTGAAGGAAGAAAAAAAAGTCGGTCACAGCCGCAGCCGAATTCACCGGCGCTCGCTACTTGGTGAATCCTGCGAGCCACGGAAAGATTGAGTGTATACTAACATACACCTTCTTGTCCTTGCCCGTCTTATATAGTGACTCATCGAGTACCGGCCCCCCAGCGACTCTAAATGGCCCCCCGGATGCCTCTCAATTGCCCCCCGGCAGTCTCTGAATATGGTGGGGCAACGGTACAAAGAGGAGCAGAGACGAACGCAAAGGAGCGGAAGGAGTCGTGTAAGACCGCGGTCCGTTGAACGAGTTACTACGGTGACACGCGAAACTCGGTGGGGGTTGAACACGAGCTTTGCCGTCAGGGTAGGATATAGTAGACTAACTTCCGCCGAGGGTGCAAGGGCGGATTCGTTGTTCCACGGTCTCGTTGGACGGAGACCACGAGGTCTCCGATACCGCCACCACAGTAGCAAGAGGAAGGGGCATATGGGGTGGGGGCGGGGGTGGGGAGATTCAGGCCCCCTGCAGGGATTCGAAACCGTCACCCTAAGGTGGGGATTGCTATCACCAAACCCAACGGTGCCTTTCCGTTTTACTCGTAAAGGATCCGCTTCGGGTCAACCATTCATTCGATCTGTGCTTTGTAGCCTCTCTTTCTCTTCCTTCGACTATATACCTTTCGAACGAAAATTAACGATAGAGTTCACAGGCAAACAGTTCATACAAAACCGATGAATCGTTACAGTAAACCTGATAAACTTAATAAAGACGACGAACGTAATAAACGTAATAAACATAATAAACAGGCAAATAAGACAAGACATACTCTTTCGTTCGATGCGAGGCAATTTCTCTTCTCTTCTCTCTTCTCTCTCTCTCTCTCTCTCTCTCTCTCTCTCTCTCTCTGTGTTTTTCTTTCTCTCGCTGTCGCTCTCGCTCTCACTCTCTGTTTCTATTGGAAAATTGCATAGGAATATAATTTCGATGTTAGCGAACTGTATTAATTGTGACGAAATTATTCCAGCTACAAGTTTTTTTCTCTGTTCAAAGTATAGTAATAATACATATTTCCTTTTTCTGCAGACGCAAAGTTGTAACTGCAAATTTAAAAGCATTTTATAAAAAACGAGAGTAAAACGACCGTAAAACGAGAGATAAGACAAATGATCGTTTAAGCCGCGAAATTGTTTCTTTAGCGTTTAAACGAATCTCATTTTTCACAGTAACGCGTGTACCACGACACAGACGTGGTCACCGCTGAACAGTCGCGATTCTTCGACGGTTGGGTCATTGACCCAGTTCGTATTCTTTCTCGATAGCCATGTCCGGTTTTCACCAGGGACGATACCAGAAATATCCCTTTTGCCAACCAAGATATGCATGTTCTTTGGAGTAATATTCGTGAAAACAGAGGACAGGACGCGTTGTTTCTACCGCACGTGAATCCATACATCACAAGATGACTCAGGCGCCATCGAATAAACGATGAAAACTTTTACTAATCCTAACGTTCGAGGCATCGATTGCTTAACAACCATATCTTATTACCCTCCATTTGTTTCCTCATTTGTTTCGACATTCGCGCAATATCCTCGATAGCAAAACGATTGGAAAAACACAGCAAAGAACATAGAAATAGAAACCGTGCGTGCTACACGTTTGTCTGAAAGTCGACCGAATGTCGTTTATCCGCTATGTGTATGTACGTATGTCGCAGCTTCGAAGATTTCGATGTAACCCTTCGAAATAAATACTATATTTAAATGTCAGTTCTTTCGTCGATTTCCGTTGGAATAGTGGCGCGTAATAACACGTAACAGATATATCAACAGGATTGAATATCAACGAGATAGATTTCGCCACAATGCGCTTCATCACCGATGTACTTAAATTGTAGGACATTCGCACGACCGATTGTAATTTCTGTAAAAGAGCATTCAACGAAGATTCGGTCGCGTTTCGTCCACCATATGCCATTTGTATAGAAACGATAATGCAAAGACGACGAAGACGAATAACTACGAATTTCGATAGATGGTTAAAGAAAGACCGACGATGAAAGAAACACGAAGAAATAACAGAGATATTCGAACAAACTCTGTAGGCCAACTAAACGAAGAACAAGGAGGAAGAAAATGAAACGGGAATAAAGCAGGGCGAAAGGAAAATGATTCACCGATTAATACAGTAGACCAATGCGATAGATATTAATTCGTTGAAAGCAAAAAGCCTTACACGATCAACTGTTCGGGATATCGGGATATAGCAAATCGTTGCACGCGAGTCCCGAGATCGATGCTCGATCTTTAAAAACCTTTGTATGCTTCGTATGTGTTTCTTTGTCTGCTCGTTTCCTTTTATTTCTACCAATCGCATTATACCTTTATCACGATACACGTTGATTTTATTTCGGAAATTCGATCGAGAAACTGATCGATCTTCACCGTACGCTATAGATCTATAGAAATCAAGGGAGATAAAGATTTTTCGTAAATTTTTCACCTGTACGTTCCAACCGAGGATTAGAACCAACCGATTTGATATTTTCTTGGATACGCAAGTACCTCTTCGTTGAAACGTACCAAAGAAATATCTTCGTATTGCAGAAATAGACAGATATATAGAACGAGGAAAAGAAATAGACAAACGCGGAAGAAAAAGGGGGAAAATAAAAAAAAAATGAAAAAATGACTTAAAATCGCTATTTGATCTATTATAGTTAGATAAAGTTTAAAATATCGGCTCTCTCGATGTTCATCGGTCCCTGGACAACTTTCTTGCCTCTATCGCCCCCCGCCCCTTCCCGTTCCGCCAAAATTCCAAATTTTATGTCTCGGGACTCTCGTCGTATAGGTGTGTGTGTTGTGTGTTGTGTGCGTGTGCGTGTGCGTGTGCGTGTGTGTGTGTGCGCGCGTTTGTGTGACAGAGACAGCGACAGAAACAGAGACAGAGAAATTCATCGAAATCGATGAATTAAGGACTAAACTTTTAGATAGGAGAACAAGACAGGTGAAAAGGGGGCAACTAGTACGCTACCATATACCGGAGTCCTCGTACTACTATATAACTGTTACGGACCGTGAGCACGCGTGCACGCAAACGTGATCGATTCTTCGAATGTGTGTATACGGGAGAAACAACTTGCTCGCGTAATCAAGCCTGCAATTTCTGATTGTTTACATGCGAGGGCATTGCCCGGATGCCGTTTACCTTACATACATTCCAGGTGTTACCACTCCCTCCTTCGCCACCTCGCGATTCCAACCTCCTACCGCTTCCGAAGGAACCTACAACACGTATACGAACCTCGAACGTATCTCCATTCGCGCTCACGCTCCCACTCGCGAGCAACCCACGAGATACTATGCGATACGATGCGATTAGATGTACCAAAGTTCTCCGACGAATTTTCAACACGCGCGAATCGTATCGTGCGATTGGGAAAGCAAAACGGATTTGAGTTTGTTGGAATAAAAATGGAATAGGCTGAACAACGACCACTTTGGGATCCAGTTAACCCATCTAATTCTCACCGCCACATTTCTTTCACCATCGACCATTTCACGTTCCAATTCGATTCCTC